CAACACATGTTCGCAAAGCCCTGGCGCCTTCTACGGATCATACGATGGAACCTCTGCTGTACTTCCGCATCATACTCTTCATCACTCACCGGATCTCCCGCCTGCCATGACGCATAAAGAGAAAATGCTAGTTCCTCAATCCGGTCTTCATTTCCAGGAACACCTCGAACTCCAGTGGGAGTGTGAACTTCATACATGACACCTCCATGCTGAAACAAGTCTTCAGCCTCCTGCCGTGGAATCCCATTGTCAATCAAGTCTTGAGGGCCCAGAACTGCAAGGTCATCCGCATACTCAGCTCCTAGCAAACCCAAGGTCTCCGCTAAGTGGCCGAACCCGTGTCCAATCAACATGGTTTCGAGTGGAATCCGATCCTGGACATGAACATTGGAAGCGCCAAAACCGAACCGCAAACATTCACTAACCCATGCATCCTCAGTCCACGGTTCTACATACGGTCGATTTCTGTCCTCCGCTACAACAAAGCGAAGCTTCGACTGATCATCTCCCCGCTCAAGTTCAAAGGCTTCCGCCCTCTTGAACACTCTCGTGATGGGATCTAAGACATACACAGGGTGCACAGCGTTCACCGTCCATTCCTCGTTCAAGACAGCTGGCAGCTCATCTAGCATACCCGTCCGATGTAATTGCCATACTCCCTGCTCAAGCCTCTGATAATTCTCAAGATGTTCGAACTCCGCGTGGGCCTTGATGACAATGTTTCCCGGGCTAGTCCACATTCTCCATTCTAAACCCGTCAACCGTAGACTCCAAACCCAGCCCACTTCATCATCACTCTCCTCCTGAAGCTCCTCACCGAACTCGCTTGGAGTAAGATCATCACTCCCAACGCTGTCGATCTCGGAAAGTTCCGAAGGAGAATTGTGATCATCTGAGTTTGATTCGGATTCGCACATGGCCATGCTCGCCTGCACACGAATGGTCATTGCAGATTTCGCCTCGGCGCCGACAAGAGCTGCAGCCTTTGCCTTTGCATCCGGTTTTGCCTTGGCCTTAGCCTCAGCTTCCTTAGCTGCTGCTTTTGCCTTTGCATCAGCTTTTGCTTTAGCCTTAACCTTAGCTTCATCTCCCTTTGCTCCTTTGTCCTTTCCTTTCCCCTGAGCCTTTGCTCCCTTAGGTGCGGCATGCATGTACTCGCAATCCTTTCCCTTCAAGCATCCCCGCTCCGTGTTGAAGAAGGCACAAGGAATAAACTTGGTGTCACCTGATGCATTCCCCTTTTTGCCCTTGTCCTTGCCTTTGCCCTTTGCCGCTGTAATCTCGTACTCACCATTACCAGCCTCATATCCCTTGGATTGGCCAGGTTTGGAAAACTCCTCAGCAGCAAGGCGCCTCGCCTCTGATTCAATCGCCGTCAACAAGAGACTCACACCCTCTTCCGTAGGATTCAATATCTCCGGGCGAAGCCGTAACAAGTTCAAGCGAGTACTCAAAGTAATGTTCTTCTTCTCCAAGGCTTTGACAAGGCTATTCAAGGATGCAATCGCTTCATGAGGAGGGTGGCTAGGTAGTCCTAGAGCTGATGTTCGCGAGTTTGCCAACTTGAACCTACGCAGCGTTGCCAAACACTCTGTGAAGGATGATGCGTGAGGCAGATTTCGCAAAAAGCTCGTCAAGGATGCTTTCTCTTCCACTCCTCCAGGTTGGAATCGTTCAAGGATGGCCTCAAGGATAGCCAGTGATGGAACAACCTGACCCGCTGCCGATTCAATGACTCCACGCTTGATCTCATCCGTAGTTTGCGATAAAAGAGTCATGGAGAGTCGAGATTCAAACTCGTCACATCCAGCAGGTGTTGTCGGCATCAAATCCCAGTCACTGATTCCTCTATCCATTCTTGTTTTAAACCGTTCCAATGCGCGGTCGATCTGAAACCTCACGAAGCGAGCGAAACCTGATCCCACACAACTCGCGACTGAGACCATCTCAGTGGCATATTGGGCAAACTGCAGCCCCTTTTCCCATGCCTGGCCTCTCGGTTCATCGATCTTTGGAAACTCCTTGAGAAGCTTCCACTGACCGCCTTGGACACGCAGATCTTTGGACTCCAATTGCAAGGCATGACCTGCAGCTGAAGATGTCTCCGATTTCACAAATTCACGAGGTAGGGCAGGAGGTGGAGCACGTGGTGCCCATGAACCGTTAACCAGCCCAGGTGGGTCCCTATACCAGTCTTGTATTGGCTTCTCGTCATAGGCATCCCACCACTGATCTCTATCAGCATCCGTTTGATCCTGGAGTGGCGTCCCACTCGCCATGTTGAATGTTTGGACCCCGCTAGGCCCCTTATCTTGCACCTCATGCGCCTGCGTGGGTACTACAGGATCTGGCTTTGGCTCGCGGCTCAAGATATGACTCAGGTGACCTTGGATCTCCTCATCTCTCGCACGCAGCTGTTTGCAAATCCGCTCAGTTTCCACAACTCGCGCCATGACCGATGCAAGCTCCTTTGATCGTCCACTCTCCTCCTCAAGGGGTCTGGACTCGAGCTTCTGAACGACCTCCTGTAGGTCAAGTATCCTCAACCAAAGCTTGTCCGATTCAAGTTTATTGTGCTTCAATAAGGTTTCCCGCTCAGCTTCGCCACTAGCTAAACCCCGGGACTCCAAACCAAGCACATGCTCATTCAGCTCGGTCAATCGCTGGCTCATCGCCTCATGGAGAAACACTTGTCCTTCAATGCCATCGACTCTTTGGGCAAGGTGTTTCATGCTCTCTGTCAACTCAGCCACTCGCTGATTCAAGGATCCGTACGCTTGGCTACTCTGCACTGCGGCCTCCCGTAACTGGTCAACTCCAGCTACAACCGTAGTTAAACCTGTCGCAAGCAAGTTCGTCCGGCGCTCCGTCTCTAGGCGTAGCCCTTCGAGATTCTGGTGCACCTGTTCAATGTCGGTTATGGCTACCATGTTCCATTGAGTCCCCTCAAGTTGCCTCATCAATTGAATCACGTCGCCGTTCGCTGTCCTGATCTCGTGCATTTGCCGGACCAAGAAATCTGCTCCTGACATTAAAACATCAGTCATGTCTCCTCTGTCCTGGCCAGAAACAAAGGTGTCTTGCTGATGCTGTGCTGCTGCGACAAGTGTTGCGGAGTGATGGCTTGGAGCGCTTGGGCTCCTAACCTCTTGGTTAGGGCTTCCGTCTGATATTCTGCTGAAGTGAGTTGGAGTCGGAGAAGGGAGACATCGAGGAACATCATTAAAATCCCCCGCCATCGGAGATGCCTTTCACCTCAATCCTCACTCACCTCCTAGCCCTGAATCCCTGAACGAACTAATCCCTCCCTGAAACCCTGAAGACGGGCTCGGGTCTCGGTTATCACGAAGAGGAAGGACGAGGATACCAGGAAGGGACCCCAATCCCAAACCCGGAATAACCCCAACCCCCATGATCCGCTCAGAGAATTTGTTGCATCTTGAGCCACAGTCAGTGGCATAGTTTATGGTTAAGCCAAGCTCTCTTCGAAGCTTGTGCGTGTCACCTTGCGCAGGGGCCGACGCATGTCACAAGCAACATGCGCTCGCTCGCGGGGTGCAGGGCTCCCTGTGCCTCTTACCTTGGGGAGAGAGAGAGAGAGAGAGGTCACGTTGTGGGAAACCCAGTGCACATTCCAGTCAGCTAGCAGCATGTCTTCTCCATGTCGGAACACGTTGGTGATGTGGCCCTCCCCTAGGAAGATTGTGTCATCTTAGGTTCCATTTCTACTCTCCTTGCCGACGTTGTTGTTTTAGTGTTACGCACTTGGGCATGTTGTACTTGCTAGTGTTGTTACGAAGATGGGGGACCACAATGTTGCAACCTTAACCTTTGTAGCCGTGGAGCGGCTAACCAGCAACCCCTGATGCAATGTGGCCTCGTACTTACAATAGTTATTCCTGCGGTTATGGTACTTGTGTCTGTGTAATGCAAAACGGGGGACGCTGGGAACTGTTCTTGTCGGAGGTAGCAAAACAGTGGTCGAAGGTCAGCGAAGTCTACTTTAATGGTCTGTACGGTTGTGCATTGCTTCCTCTACGAGAGACCTCGACCAGAGCTGCCAGTAGACTTGCACGTGTCAACGAACACCGGTTACGAACCAAGCTTTCTCCACGGTCAACACAATAATCTATGCATACTGGGGGACTAACTGGTTTTCTCACGCCTTCCCAAAGTCCCCATAACAAGTGGGGAGCCCATGAGGCCGGAGGGCTTAAACAGCCCTCTAAGCCCAGCGGAAGAAGAAGAGGTCGTTCAAGAGGCTGACTGATGAAAGAAGAAAGGAGGAGGGGGGCGGGAGCTGGGATTCAGTTGGGTCGTGCCTGCATACAAAAACGCAGGCTGGTTGGGTGGGACTCTTTCTAAACGTGAACCGAGCAGACATCGATCAATCCCGTGGCTCCGGGCCCGAGTCCCCAGCAGCTCAGGGATTGTTTCCTGAGCCATGGATTAGGGTGCCCAAGGTTTAGTGACACATCAAATATTCTCATTATCCATCTATCCATCAATCACCTGTCGAACCCAACGTCTCAGACGTTGTAACCACTGTTCTATCGTCTGTCCGATGCGGAGCAATTCTTGCATACAAAAGGCGTGGGCTGGTGGGGTAGGGATCTTCTTGGGACGTGTGCTGCAGACACCGATGAATCCCGTAGCTCCCCAGCAGCTCAGGGATTTGCATTCTCCCGCCCTGCCTTTTTTGCCTCCGCGGTGAATGAGGGTTAGTGGTCATGTTATTGCTGTGCGGATGCTTTCGACAGGCGATTGATGGATAATGCAAACATCTGACATGTCAGTAGACCTGGGGCACCTGGTCAGGTTCCAAAGGTTGATACCCCACGCACCAAACTGCCTTACATCTCAGGGATGAATGAGTTGGGACCCAACGTCTTAGACGTTGTAGCCACTGTTCCATCGTCTGATGGTGGGAGCAAGCCCCTCTTATCGGTGTGACCAGTGTGCGCCCAGAAGAGAGGCGAAGCTTCTAGACTTTTGGCGAGGCCATCCGACGAGGCCTGCAGCTGGCGGGGCCGAAGTTCGCAAGCTTCGTGGACGCCTTGCAGGCCCATCCTTGACGGTCCGTCTGAACCATATAACTCTCTACTGTCTGTGTGTTTAAGGAGCTGGGGGCGAAGCCGGGCTCGCGCCTGCTCGTGTATTGCAGCCGGGATCGAGCTTGGCATGGCACGAATTCAGCATACATCGCGCTACTCCATGATCTCCATGAGAGAGGCAAACCTTAGACTTTTCCTCTCGAGGCTGGCGCGGCGGGATGCGCAGCGGCTCCATGGCCTGGCTCTTTCAACTCTGCGGCTACCAGGCGCTGCGCGGCGCAGACGAGAGCCGCCGTGCTGTGTCTCTGTGGAAGTGCCTTTGTAACAGGTTCAAACCTTGAAAGGCACGGCCCTCAGCAGAGAAAGAGCTGCCGTGCTGCCACCTGGTGCTCTTGTTGTCTGGTGAAATCGCAGCAATTGCTTGATTGATAAACTCGAGCTGGGTTGCGGGGTTCTGCTATCAGCTCGCTCGCCGGAGCTTCATATATGGCATTTGGCGACAGATACGATATGAAAGTTGTCTTTTTCTCACGAATGCTCACGAAAACAGCGCCGAGCTGCTGCTCTTCACGCTACTCGAGGTGCCTCGAGATGAGATGTTCTCTCTCGTTATCGGGAGGCTAACGACAGTGACACCGTCGTTAAGAAGCCAGCTACAAAGTGCCAGACATTCTGTAGCCGGAGTCGCAGCAGATCCTGAATTTAACGTTTTCTGCATGAAGATGTGCGGATGTGTTCTGATGCCATCGCTCTTTCCATGTCGGCCGCCTTAAGTGGGGTCCAGCAAGATGCAGCTTGCAGTTGTTTTCGGGAGCATGTCCGAAGCTGACCGTTCGAGCCCAGCAAAGGTGGCTACCGCGCGTTCAGGCGATGGTGTCCTGACCCCAAGAAAAAGCCAGAGGCGATGTCCAGAAAAGAAACGAAGAGAGTGCGGCTGAGGCAGGGCAACAGTAGGGAACGAGCATGCGCCAGCACCGGCACCGGCGACTTGCCTTTGATTGGAGAAGTCAGGCTTCACAGCCAGCCGCGACTGTGATTTTGCGATTGAGCATTCGTGATGCGCTTTCATCTGAACGGACTCTTCGAGGTGTTGGTGCTGGGGGGCTGCACCGGTGTTGGCAAGACCGCAGTGCTGTGTGAGCTCCGGCGGCGAGGTGAGCAGGTGCTCGATCTCGAGGCCACGTGAACCAACCAAGCAGTGCTGGTCATTGCCATGTCTTGGTAAAACCTCTCCTGCTTTTTCAGGGGTTGGCCAACCACCGTGGCTCTGCGTTCGGCAGCACACTTGGTGCTTCTTTGCTCGGCGCGGAGAGATCAAGTTCTCAAGACTTCAGGTGCTATTGGCCAGCCCGAGCAGCCCAGCAATGAGGCCTCAGCTGTAATCACAAGCTGAGAGGAAAACACTGAAGGGTAGACGCGCGTATGTCGCTCCAGGATCATTGTGGTGCCTACAGGGCTGGGCATCCTAGTGTTGTGCCGCCGCATCCGCAGGCCTACGAGAACATCCTCGCCTTCGCCGTGCGCCGCGTGAAGCCTGGTGCGCGGCTCTGGCTCGAGCACGAGTCGAGACACGTCGGCAAGGCCCGGCGGCGCTGCGTCGTCGAACAGTGCAATCCCGTCAAAGGAAGATAAGACCGCCCTGGGACGCCGTTTCTCACGCAAAGAACAGCCTTCGTCGTGGCTCCCCTGGTCTCTCTGTTCGCAGGCACTTGTCCCGTCTGGCATCCTGTCTTGGGTTACGAAGCCCAGTGCAAGCCCTCAGATGCACAGCCGGTGAAAAGGCCTGCTGTGCCTCGTGCTGAGGTGCCATGCTCATTCTCTCCATGGAGAAGCCCCTGCGGGTACAGAGGTGGCGGCGTCCCATCATTGCAAATTCCTCCAGACTCCAGACTGATTGCAGGCTGGTGGAAGACTATTGTACCCAGGCGAAGCTACAAGAACGTGGTAAGGAAGAGCTGAAGCAGTGCTCCTCGTCCCCGCAGTGTGTTGCGTGTGGTTGAGAGACTTCCGTTCAAAGCTTGAGGTATCTCTCAAGGTTTGGCCAAGAAGTTGGGTGGTCAACGGGTCAAGGACTGCACGGTGGAGTGCAGCATGTGCTGTCACTCCGGCTGTACATGCCCCGCTTGAAGGAGGCATTGCAGATGTTGGATGAAGGACGCTGGGAGGAGGTGCCTTTGCTGTTGCTGCAGGAAGTTGTGCTTCCTAGGTCACCGTTGAAGCCTTGTGCAGGTTGCCGCAATGATGTTAGACTATTACGACAAGCTCTACGACACCTGGGCCAGGCAGAGCGAATGCCTGGAGCGAATTGATATTGACTGCCGCGGCCTCAGCCCCAACTGCCGTTGAAGGACCTGAGACATGAAGCCGAGGTCCGAGCGCGGACGCCGCCGCGAATGCCGAGCTGGTGCTGCGAACGCTCGCCACTGAAAGGCGCAGAGCTCCTCTGAGCCTCCGAGCTTCTCCTTTTCCAGTCGTCGGGCGCCAGGCCCGAGTCCCGGTCGCCGGAGCCGGAGCCGATGGCGGAAGCCCAGAGGCCGTCGAAGGACGTCACAGAGGCGATGAAACAAAATCAGACAGAGTCCATCGCGTAAATCGCGGCTGTGCTTTGCCATTTGCTGTGAGGGAGCCCTCTACGAGGGGGCCTGCTACTGCCACCCGGCACAGAGGGCTGGAGGGAGCTGACGGCTCGATCAGTTGCAAGCCCAGGTGGCGAGGTGCGAGTGCGATGCCGGGGGGAGGCGCGGGCCATCAGCCCCTCGGCTTAATCGAAGCTATGCTTCCCAAATGGAAGGCAGCAAAAGGCGTTGAAGAGGGCGAGAGATTGTTGTAGACACTTCCGGTGAAAGCATTCAATCCTTAGGAAGAAGCGGCGCGAGTACAGCGCAACGAGAGGACAGAAGAGCAAGACGTGGAATCAACTGGCTGACGAGATCTGACAAGTGCGATCGGAAGAAATCTCCTGCCGTAAGGGATGTGTAGGCAGGTTAATTGACGAAAAGACTGCAGGTGGCATGTTCGTTGGCAGAGAGACGCAAGCAATGAAGGAACATCGGACATGCCATCTTCTTCTTCATGAGTATCAAGTGTGTGTAGAGAATTGAATATAGTGAGCCCAGACTTTCTCGAGCCGTGGACATTGCTTTTGCGGATGTACTTAAGTGCTTCAAGCGGCTCGGCTGTTGACGACGGGTCGGTGTGTTTAGATGCTCTTTTCCCATACTCTTTCTCGACCGGAGGCTACTGCCACTGCTCCGTTTGCAGACGCCTTTCCGGAGCACCCTTCTCCTGCCAAGCCCTCTTCCAAGACGACCAGGCCAGAGCCCGCAGAGCCCGCAGAGCCCGCAGAGCCCGCAGAGCCCGCAGAGCCCGAGACATCTTGGAGCTGTGGAGCCCATACCGTAAGCATGACGAGACACAGCCCGGGCCCGGAGGTATCCTTCGAGCTTCAGCCCGGGGCCAGCCTCGTGGCGCTGCGCACCTCCAAAGGCCTCCTCGCACGGCGTGCGCGCGCTTCTGGCTTTTTTTGTTGATGCTTCTTTCCAGGCGTGGAGCGCAGTCGCTGCGGCTCCTGCTTCGCCCCTGTGCGCGGCACTCTGCAAGGAGGTGCCCTTCGAGCTGAGCTGCGGTGCTCTCCAGCTTCGTTATGCGCTGCAGGGAAGCTCGTGGCTATCCCACTGGTCTTGCTCGCCTGCTGGAGGGGCGAAGGCGAAATTGAAAGCGATGGGCCGAATCCGAGGCCAGCGTTCAGCCAAGAACATCGTCAATGCCTTGTGCAGTCGCCTTTGCAGGCTGCGGCCCAGGCATCATCTCCACTACGACGATCGGGTCATGGATGTACGCCGCGCCCCAAGTCCCATGGGTCCCTTCTTGAGAGAGTGCAAATCCAGATGCCGAGGTGATGGGCTGCCAAAGTATGCTGCTGGCCTGCGCGACACAGGTCGACTTCCAGAGAGGGAGTGGTGACAGCTGCTGCTTCTCAACACCGTTCTCGTGATATCCAAGAATGCCCGATCGACATCGGCTGCGGTCCGCGGCCCCCTCGCTGTCCCCTTACTCCGCAGCGGCTCCGCACTCCACAGCCTCTCCTCGGACGCTCAACGACAAAGCAGCTCGCCCACAGCGAGCGGAGCAGCGAATTGCGCTTCTGGAGCCTTCTGCAACTTCTGCGACGCGCTGTGGTGCTGTGGCGGAAGGATGAAAAGACTCATTTGTTCTGTTATCGTGAAGGGCGCCGAGGCGGATGGGATTGAGACCCGATGCACCCTTGACAGGCACCGAGGCCAGCAAAGCGGGGCCCCCGGAAGAGAGCCAGACGAGTCCGCCGTTGAACGTGTTGTGCACGTGTGTAGCGACTAGCGAGGCCGAGTACGCCGACTTCGAATGACGTTCCCCGAGGCCGGCCCGGCAGAGAGAGGGAGAGAGTGGGGCTCGGGGTAACGGTAGGCTGGGGCAGGTCAGGGTCGGTATATAAGGCTAGGATGGGTGAGTAGTTTAGGAAAGGGCGAGGTTAGGTTAGCGAAGGGTAGGTTAGGTTGGGTCAGGTGAGGTTAATTAGGGAGGTTAGGTTCGGTTAGGTTAGGCTAGGTTGGGGTAGATAGTCGTTTTAGGCTCGAACGGGTCAGGTTAAGTCGAGGTCAGGCTACATTGGAGTAGGATTAGGCTGGGTCATGTTAGATTAGCCTAAAGTAGGTTGAGGTAGGTTAGGTTGGGTGAGGCATAGGGTGGCTTCGGGCAGGTTCGGCCAGGTGAGATTAGGTCAGGTTGAGTCAGGTTCGGCTATTTTTCGTTATAGGGTTGGTTGAGGTACGCGGGCAGGTTAAGTGAGGGCAGGTTGCTCTGAAGAGGACGAGCGTGGGGCAAACAGCTGGGGAGGGGTCGGAAGCCAAACTTTGGCCCCTTTCAGTACTGTTTTACCTGCAGTTTTGTTTGGTAACCTTCCTTCGCTCTCCCGTGGCTGGGGCAACAGGCCAAGGCCATCAAAAGTGGGGGTGCGCAATAGCTCATCCTCCGAGTCCTGAGGAGTATAGAGTCATATAGAAGAAGATCCCGGGAGCCAAGTGTGAGGCGCAGACTTCCTCGCATGTCTTTTTGCGGTTTAAAGCCGAAATCTGTCCCCTGCGTTTTTGCTGTTTTACTGCTTTCAAGACATCAAGGCAGCGGATACAGATCGGCTTTTTTTAACAGAAAACTTTCGCACCAGCACCTGACCACCCACAACAGAATATTTTAGTTGTTTATTGAAACCCATTATTTCGATATATGTGTGATATTCAAGTGCACAGAGAAGCAGCAGAGAGAGTTTTCTTTTTTGGGCGCACACATGTGTTCCCATGTTCTGTGTCGCTCACTCAACCCGAAAAAGCTTCACGATTCCGGTGAAAGCAGCGGTGGCGATGTTTCGCCGAACAAAATATTGGGGGTTCAGTGCCCTCAGAATTACTAACATTGTTTACTGACATATACTGGTACAGATTGGAGTCTATATCCACCATTATAGGATTTCACTGCTCTCATTCGCAACTTATGGTATCAATCTTCGTCTTACTGTCTAAAGTTTAGCTATGTCAGCTCTGTCATCAACATTCACGCCTATATATTTTCTGTATTACTTGTCACACGGTGAAATCAATAGGTTGATGTTGCGCTACATAACCACGATATAACTAGATCATTTAGGACTACATCATCTATCATATTAATCGTTCTGCCAATATTAACAGGTGTGGTGCTTTACTAATTAAGGTTATTAACAGATATGCAGTTTAATACAATTGCATTTGATTCATATTCGGAGGTGATGCTATGTTCTATCAATATTTGATTTGGTTCTTTGGGAATCCAGGGGTCTATCCTTCCAGCATTTGGTGATCAATAGTTTAACTCTATAATCGGAGAATCTTAGCTATGAGGCTATGAGTTGTCTTTGTCTATTAGGCTAAATGAGCTTGGGCACATCATATGTTTACAATCAGTATGGAACAGTGATACAAGAGCTATAACTTTACAGATTAATACATTGGCTATATTTTCATTACCAACTTGTTCGTTAAGATCATTTAGTGGGTATTCTACGTATCTGGACAAGTAGTGAATGTCTACTGATACTATTTTCACAACTAAAGTTATCTGTTACATTATATCTTTCATATAGTCTGTTCACAATAGGTGGTTCAAACAAGAGCTATAACTTTACAGATTAATACATTGGTAATATTTTCATTACCAACTTGCTCGTTCAGATCATTTGGTTGGTATTCTGCATATCTGGACAAGTATATAATAAATGTCTACTGTTACTATTTTCACAACTGGTGTTATCTGTTACATTATATCTTTCATATAGTCTGTTCACATTAGGTGGTTCAACCGGTAACATACTTGGTAACTAGTGCTACTGGTATAGATGTTCATGACTCTTATTGTGTTGTTGCACTTTTTCATTATGTCTAATTATTAGTACAACCAATGCTACTCTATTAGGACTATTATATGTATTGTCAGGTGCAATGTTAAAACGACTTACTAACAATAGATGAACAGCTATAGGTATTGGCATGAATGGTTTAGGTTAGTTGTGTGTAGTAGTTAATACAAGTTAAGTTATTTAAGTTGTTCATGGTAGTTGTGTTCTAGTGATGTCATGTGAAGGTTTACAGCATTACATCTCAGTGGTTTCTAATGTTTAAGCCTAGTAGAGTACAAGACTCAGGAGATCCCTCAATGTAGTGGTTGGAATAATACTAGTTCAGTTGGTTAGAGGTTGCACGTTAGTTTCATTCTTTATCTTTTCCAACCAAGATAATTTAATAGGTATTGGGGAGGCCACCGGAAGCTCGTCATGAATCGCGACTGCTATACAGATATGAGTCACCGGAAAATAGAACTAGGCTTGAGTACGGAACGCCACGAATCACAAACTGTATACGGCATGAGTGCCCTCCTCGTTCACAAAACTCGCTATGGCAAGATTTGTTTTGCTCTTCTGCGCTTTGAGAAGGCCACAACCCTGCAGGGCAACGCGGCTTACAATAGCAATGGTTTGTGGTATAAAACCAAAACCTTAGAACCAAAAAAACCAAAACCAAAAGAACCAAAAAAAACAAAACCAAAAGAACAAAAAAAACCAAAAAAACTAATTTTCTGAAAGTCTTCTGGAATGTTATTACCCAGGACTATACACCAAGACTTTCTGAATATTGTTTTTTTTGGTTCTTTTGTTTTTTTTGGTTCTGTTTTTTTTGGTTTTATGGTTTTGGTTTTCTGGGTTTTGTGTATTGCTTTTTTTTGGTCTTCTGGTCTCGGTTTGTGTGCTTTTTTGGTTTTGGGCTATTGTCATTGAATGCAGTCTGCTGCTGTGGTTTTTCATGAACGAAGGTACAACAGTGAAAACGCATGGGCCAGTTTTCGGCCTCAAACCCTTTTTGCTGTACAGGTGCCATGCTCCGAGGGCCCCAGCCTCGGACGCCTCTGATCGAACCGCCGAGAGCAGAGCGCAGCCGAGCGCTGCGGAGCCGGATTGCAGCTCAGTTTTGACAGGCTCAGCGCATCGCGCGACCGCGACCCCAGCGCGTCGCGCGAGAAACGTGGACAGTGGCGATCCGAGTCTTCAGTCTTCAGAGTCCGGCAGAGCTTGGTTTCGTCTGAGATCGCCTAGGCCCGGGCGGCGTGGCTCCCTGTCGAGCTCCACGCGGAGAGGTCCGCGCCTCTACAGGCTCCCAACGTGCAGGGCCCAAGCGGCACTTGCGTCAGGCTAGCGCCTCTCCGTGACGACGCGTTCAGGGCAGTGATGCCTGAGCCGCCCGCATCGCAGGGGCACAAAAAAAGCCCACGGAGGCTCCGCAGACAGTGCAGGGCTTCCCTGCAGGGCTTACATGCTGGGCTACTGTATGATGTGTGCAGCCACGGCCACACGCCAACAGATCTGCAGACAACACGGGAGGAGATCCAACCGCGCATGGTTGTGTTTGTTGCCACAGTTCCTGACACGTTTTCAGTCTTTCCGGGCTTGCAAAATCTTGCTCCGTCATGCTGGAATGTTGACACACGTGTACCTTTGGCAACAACTTCGAGGGACAATCGTTGATTTGACTGCACGATGCTCCAGGCTGGTATTTCCGGCACTTTGTGCTTTCGAGTTTCAAAAGAACACGGTTTCGGCGGACCTCGTTTTTTTTTGTTTGGGGGGGGGGGGGAGTGTTTTTATGTATGTGAGTGACATGTCGATGTTGTTCCACAACTTCCATGACTGCTGATGAAGATGGCGATGACACTATTGTTGCTGATGATGATGATGATGATAGAAATGCTGAATAGGATCATGGTGATGATCATGATGATGAAGTTGAAGATCTGCGAACAACCTCCATGTAAAGTAATGTTGCCTGGCTGTGTAACATCTGTGATGTTAATGACGCCAATCGACTCTGGCTCAAGCATGAAAAGGTGCTCCGTGCTGCGTTCAAGGTTGGGAAAGGCTACGAGAGTGACAAAGGAAAAGGAAAAGGTGGACAAAACGGACCTGTATGTTTCAACTGTGGTAAGACCGGACATTACTCTTCGGAGTGTTGGTCACCACCGAAAGGAAAAGGAAAAGGAAAAGGAAAAGTTCGCAACGTCCAAGAGACAGGCGAGGAAGAATGGTATGAAGAGCAACCAAGTTCTTCTACACAGGCACAAGCAAGGCCACCACAAGGAGCAAAAGGAAACGAGCAAGTGCGTAGGTTGGTAACAACACCTATGCCAGTCCAGTGATTGAAGAAGTGTTCGACGATGAAGAAGAGTACGTCGATCTTGTAGGAATGTTCGAAGAAATGGTGATGGACTATGCTGCAAGAGCAGTGAAGGTCAACACAGTTATCTTCATGTCAAGCATGGTCGATGAAAGCGACGAAGAAGATTATGAGAAGGATGAACTTCACAAGTGGTATGAAGATCTGCAAGTGGACAAGCAGAATGCCAAGCAG